CGCGTTCTGCACCACCTGAAGTTTCCGCAGCAGCCTCAAAGGTAGCCCCACGTAGAGCGCATTACAGTGTTTAATGCTCTAGTCATGTAAAAATTGTTTTTATTTACATTTATTGTATTATTTTATGTTGTTAGCCGCCTAGAGTGGTCCTGACCCGACCAGATAGGCGGGATATAAATTAAATAAATAAATAAAGCTGGTATGAGGTTTATTGGACATGCCTCAACACAGTTTATTGTAGAGGTAGAAACAAGAGGTTTAATATAGGTTCCCAATATTATGGATCTCCAATGAAGGAGTGTTCGGCAGTTCTGCTACATTACTATTATGTCCTGGATTTCAATTTAAGGATTGCGGTCTAAATGTGTAGCACAGGGACTTCCATTGTCTTTTCCTATTGATTAAGCTATTAATATTAGTAGAAGAGTAGGCTGACAATATCTGTAGGACCACGTGTTTCCCAATCCTGCTCTAAATCCATGGTTATGCAGGTTATTGAAATGGCCCCCAAGAAAAACTGTAGTTAAAATGAATGGATTTAATGAGAGGCTGATTTACAGAAAACATGCAAGAAACCCCCGCATTTATCATGCATGCATTCAGCATTATGTTGGCTACATGACCACATACACGATTGGCAACAGTTCCCAGTATCATGGTGCCAAGAAATTAAAGAGAGAAAAAATTGTTGAATAAGTACCAAGACTTTGCTGTTGCTGACAATTTTTGTAATTGTTCTGCTCCCATGTGAGCCTATGCCTGAGAGAGTTGGTATCAATTGAGTAGACAGAAGTCCCTGTGCAAACCATCCCTACAAAGGATGGTTCACGTCACAATGAAATTGCATTACTCACTATTATTTACACTCACCGTTCCGTTTCCCACTGTTTTTGTCTTTTCTGCAGGCCTTGTGATGAGCAGCACCCAGAAGTGAAAGCAGATGGTTATGTGAATAATCTTGCAGAGGCTGTGGATGTAATTTTAAAGCAGTTGGACAAGTGAAAACGCTGGGGAAGTTGACTGAAGACAGAAAGATGGCTGGCTTAGCATGGACAAAACCATGCATTCTGTTTGCCTTGGTTACTTGTCTTCACTCAGTTTTTCATGCAGTAATATTAGAATTTTTTTTTCTAAGTGTGTGTAGCTAAAATGAAATGCTGACTATATAAAACATAACAACACGAAGTCTGATGCATGTAGGTAGCCCTTCAAACAAGAAGCCTTTCCAGTCTTAATTACCTGGTTGGGTTATATCTAACCATATCATATCCCTGAATAAATGTCTGTGCCACATAGTGCTTGGCGTGGGACCTTTTTCCTGCCCTGGGTGGCTGTACTCCCACCCCCAACCCCACCCCTATCTTTTCTTTTGTAGAAGAAACTCAAAAGAGAAGGGTCACCAATCAGGCCAGCAGTAGGTGACTCGAGAATGAGAAGATTTTTTTTAAAAAAATTATCGGCAGTACTATCCTTTCTTAAGCTTTCTGTACGTTCAGTCTTCTGTGTTGGGGGGATGGGTGCAAGGATTTGGAAAATCACTGAGATTGCTGGGTGAGCCTCATTGCATCCAGTCCTAATATGCCTTCGGTCTTGGAAAATGCAACTTTGCAACAGAAGAGGACTCTGTATTTTGCTGATGGTAGCACCATGGAGCAGCAGCACAAAAATCTGTCCCTGCTTCCATCCTTTGGCACAGTTCTAACATTTGCTTTTTTTAAAGCCCTGTTTTAATAAAGTGGAGAGTGAAGGCATAAATACAATGTGACACATTTAACTGTTTTCTTTAAGATGCACATAGCCTCTCTGAAATAGAGGAGGAGGGGTAACACAGCTGTCTGAGCTACCCTTTGGTTCACAGGCATGCACATCTGTTATTTCAGTTGCAAAGAGGAGCTCAGGGACCAACCGTGGGCTTTCTTTTTTAGATCACATCTGTCTTTTTTTAATCTTAAAAGGAAGCACTTGTTCATAGATGAGCGAGTGGGTTGTTTCAAAGTTAGTCCATGCAATATCAGGGGTGTTTGCAAAAGGGTTTGGCATGCAAGTGTTATTAACCATGGTTAGATCAGCACCCACCAATTTTGAGACAGTTTCCCCCCTCTATTTTGCATGCATGTCATTCTGAGGATGTTGTGAGTTCTCTTTCCTTTTGCCCAAAGGAAAGTTCTCTTTCCTTTTGCCCATACATATTGGTGCTCACTTTCATTGCTTTGGAGGGTAGACCAGGGTCCCACAACCAAGCTGCTTCTGTCTGATCATATCCTCTAAGAATAGCTGTGCATGTTGAGAGCTATATTCTGATGGCTGGATGCCAGAAGAGAAGAACTAGTTTCAAGTCCAAGTCCATATTAAAAGCAAGCTTTTTTTCCAGAAAAAAAAGGGAGGGGTGGGTGGGTTCCAAGTCAGGAGTAGAGTCCAAGTTATTGGAAAAATTGAGTCACCAGGGTAACTTAAATCCGACTTGACAGCAAGTCAAGTCCCACAATTCAAGTCCCCATCCCTGATAACTAAGGGCCAAAGTAGACAATAAGGGAGAGTTTTATATTTCTTGTTATTAGCCTGTTAGTTCTTTTTCCTCCTACAAACAGATTTCTTCAGAGAAACACACTTCAGCAATCATACTTGCAAATTAAGTCCATGTTCACCTGGCAGTGACTAATCACAACACAGAGCTAGAATGTAAGATATGAAGGTCAAGAGAAAGCACATGCTATGACAGACATCTTTATTTGCTCGAAGGAATACTGCTACTATGCTCTTTACTTAGAGATGGGAGTGAAGACTTCATAATGGGGGGAAAATGTAGGCAGAGTGGTCCTGATCCAACCAGATAGGTGGGATATAAATAAAATAAAATAAATAAATAAATAAATAATTGTGACACATTGAGACCCTAAGCAGAGTTAAGCCAAGCACAGCTATGAGGCCACATGAACCCTCCTAGGGATTCCTAGAGGCCCCCTGCCCCTCCTAGTGAATTAAATATTCATAAAATTGCATAAGGTGAATTTTATTTATTGAGTTAAACCCTCAATGATCCCCACAAAAACAAGAACTGGAAGTGGTAATTGGCCTTTTCCTGTTTTGATCCCCCCACACACACACACACACAAACGCGCCTTCTTTTGCACCATCTGGGTGATAATATTTGTAGCAGAAGATTGCTTGCTGAGCCAACAGTACTTGCCTGCCGCTGTCCCAAACTATATCAGGATCAAAAGCTCCCCTTAACTTTAGCAATCAAAAAGTAATTATTTTATTTTGCATTCTGCAGCTTATTTAACGGGTTGTAGGTTAGTGTTCGTGTATATTTGAAGGAGGATGGGGAGCAGCCAGATAGGGAGAGGAAGAAATGATGGACATTTGCTATTTTAATGTATGTTTGCAATGGATCGGTACAAAATCACTCCAGACCAAGGTCATCTTGGGAGCTAGTTTGGGCCATGTGTAATCTGTCCAGGTGACTGAACTGTGAGCCTGGAATTCTCAGATCAGATAACTGCCTTTTCTACTCAGACTTGCTTGGATTGCCTCTGTAAGGCATTCCTTGATTAGAGCCAAGCACTGTACCAGGTGCAATGGTACAATTAGAGAGGATGTTGAAATAGGCTCATGGAAACAGTATATAAGGCTTTTCCAGAGCATAATATTAGCAGATGCTAATGAAACGAAGATGATCTGATTATTCCACTTGTTATCAGTCCATTTTTGGCAGTACCCTCTCCCCCATGACAGAGGTCAATCCAACATCTGTGTATCTTCTTATGCTGCTTAAGCTGTTTGCACACAGATATTTTTGGTGTTCAAAGCTTCTTAAATGTGTTTTCCATCTTTCCCTTTGCCAAATATATTTCTATTCTGTTCCTTTTTTTCAAAGCACTCCCTTTCCATGGAATGAAGTTGAACCTGTGGGGGAAGGATTTATTTTAAAGCTAGACTTTTATGGGCGGGCGGGTGGGTGGGCGGCAAGAGATTCTTTGCCCTTTAGTGTCAGCTGGAGATAGCTAAGAGGGAAGAAAAGAGAGTTTGAATTTGCTGAGATTTTCAAATTTGGGAGGCAGGAGATGTGGGGGGGGGGCGGACAACAAGAGAGGATTCTAGATCCTACAAGATCAAACCAGCTAAAACACAAAGACAAAAAGATAGTGCTAAAGACCAAATACATAAAAACACCAAAGCCAGTCAGAAGAACACCATGCAACAGCAGCCCAGATTAGAAGCCAAAGTGCACCCCCTTCCATGCTGGGTGCTGCGGTCATGATGACAGTTGCCAGCTAATTGTTTGCATAGCCCGGTTTGCACATTACATTTGATTTATGTGGTCCTCTTGTACCTACTGGTGCAAGAGCAGAGAGTGGAGCCTGATAATAATTTGCATCCTCTTTATGTAGGTTTATTTACCTGTACAAACTGAGCAATATTTATGTTTTCCCCCTCAGTCACAACAGCTTTCTGGAAATCTTTTTATCATCGTCACCACAGGAAAGGGGTGGCATTTGAAATGTGTTTCTATGCTTTGAATTGGAAATGCATGCTCATGTGTTTTTTAATCTTATAAGCTGCCTCGTGAGGGCAGGGTGCCCTGAAAAGGTGGGCTTAAAAAAAGTTGGTATGAAGAAAGGTGAATAAAATGAATAAGGAAGCTGTTTTGAACCCCAGACCTACAGAGAGTGTTTCATGATGGGAAGGTGCCATAGTTCTCAGGTGTGAGCCAAACTTGAGGGAGGTTGAGTTGTGATTACTTAGTGGTCAGAGCATTCAGCACATCTGAGTTGTTATTTCATATAACGAACTGTGCATAACACTAAAAAGAAACTCCCCTTACAGGAGATATTTGCATCTACCATTTGTATTTGATGGTAATGGAAATAAGCTGATTGACTTCCTCACACACATCCCTGTGGAAAATAATTGTTCCTGATTGCATGCCAGCGAGCAGTGGCCAAGTTGGCTGGGTCAGTGTACGGGCAGTGCACGTGGCCTACCTCTGAAACGGGAGCCAATGAAACTGACATCTCAATAGCAATGAGGAGAAGACATGTCCCCAGGCTACTGGTGACCAGGTGTACTGCGACACACTATATATGAAGTGCTGGGAAAAGAAGGGGGAGAAAGTTGAAGGGAGACGTTATGTGAGTAGCATGTATAGTAACATAGGACTGGGGGATGGATGATGAATCTAGAGCTCATAATGCCTGTGTTGCACTTGAGATGAGCATTATAAACCCCAATAATTATGTTTTTCTGTATTTAGAGAGTGAGAAAAGATTTCATTTCTATGAGGCTGAATAGATTAGAGAGGGGAGAATAGGAAATCGTCCCTGAAATTTCAGAAGCTTATGAAATTTATTTTTTTGGTGCTTGACTGATGTGCATTTCACCGAAATAGACATGACTCCATAAACCTAGACCGTGTGGTAAGGCTATGCATGGGTTGACAATTAACTTGGGTATCCTGCTTGTGCTGGTTCTCTGGGTTTCTTCTATCATCAGTAAAAAAGACTGATATTTTGCAGTGCAAAACCAATGAGACATTGCATATCTTTAAAGGCACATTTGTCTTTACAGAGCTTGATGAGATGCTGGTGTGAGAAAGTGAAAGAGACTAAAAACTGTGTCCTTTTTAATTGAAAATGTCATAGAGCCAAAACAATCTCACGGCAATGATCACAGACTGCACACTGCAAAGCTTTCAGTCTATAAACATGTGCCAACAAGAAGTCTGTAGCCTATGCATGGGTATTTGTGGAGAGGATTAGCAAACAGGAGGAGGTAGAAGATCACAACATTGCTGTTACTCTTGTGCAGCAAGTCCCAGTCACACTGCTGCTGTCAGACAGTGGTCATGTTGAAGAAGCATTGCTTCTTTCTGCTAGATTGGGGCAGGAAATCCATGGTCCTCCAGATTTTACAGGGCTACAGGTCCCATAATTACTACCTTATTGACCATGCAGGTGGAATACCACCTGGACTCCCACTGCTGTGCTAGAAAATACCAGCTGTGCCTTGGTCTCCATCATTTCTCTCCCCAAAGCTCTGGAAGCAGCTTATTTTCAACTTGTGTTATTACAACCTGAGACTCCAGAGTTTGCAATGTTTGCCATAGATCTGAGAGGTGGAGCTTATTCAAAAAGACTGAATGTACCCTATATGCTGTCTGTACAGTATTGCATTATTAGGAGGGTTTAAGTGATTTACTGCGAGAATTCCCTAGGGATTATATGCTGCTAACATTTTGCTGTAAAGTAACACCTTTTGCTTTCTTGATGCCCTTCAAATACTATAATAACGGAATATTAATGCCTTCACTACCTCCTCAATGAATATCTCATTGTGTTATATGGGCTGCTCATTGGTCTCCTTGTATTAACAAGCCTTCCATGCATGTCTGGCTCAGGCATCCGCCGAAACAGCCAAGTCCCAAGTTTCAGAAGAGCACTGTAGTTTTTTCACACATCATTTAGAATGAGGCCTGTACTATGGTTCATTATTAGAAGCGTTTGAAAATTCATATTTTATCGAAGAATTATCTGAAGGCAGATAACGATGGGGGCAGATTCTATATACTGTAAAACAGCTTTTATTATACTTCATTTCTGGAGGGGGGAGGGGTTTACTCCTGCCGACTCATTAGTACAAAAGATGCCCACACAACATCCCAGCTATACCTAAGCCTGAAACATTTTATCAGGTGAATGTGGTTTAGGATATTACAGCTGTCATGGTTAGGGCATTCCTCAAACATCTGAGTCTCTAATCCTGATCTCAGCATTGTTTTTCTTGCAAATGGCTGTAAAACTGTGTGATGATCCTTTTCAGGATTTTCTAGGTAAAAAGTACTCAGAAGTGGCCTAACAGTGCCTTCCTTGTGGGAAAAGGGCATTATGAGACTATGTAGCTTGCCCAAAGCCACACAGGCTGGCTGCTTCTCTGGGAATCGGGGACCCTTTGCACCATAGTCAAGCGTTCCAGCTCATTGAGCTATCCATTACTGAGCTATCCAGCCAGCTAGTAACACAAATGGCTCTGGCAGTTTTAAAATGTAGAGTGTTAAAAGAAAAGTGCTAAATAAGTAGTAAATAAATAAGCAGCAGTTTTCATTTGAGGAGAGCGTTAATTTCAACATGTTGATTTAGTCATTGGAAGGGATTTCAGCATCCCCAGTACCATATTCTTATAATGTGATATTAGATCTATTGGTTTATAGAACTATGAAGACATCTAGTCAAAGTATACTTTCTGATTTCTTACATATATGTCCTCTGCTAGTGCAACCAGTGCTTTGTTAGATGCCACACAATGTGCATAATAGATTCATTGGAGCTATACTCTTTGATGCTAAAATCTCTTATTTTTCAAGGGGCATTTTCAAAGGCAGAGGAATAAGTCCGCTCAACATCATTCTTGTCTAGAGAGACATATGCTTCTCTCTTTGCATGCTTGGGTGTGACTGCTGGGTATGTGACTAAACAGCCATTATATAAAGCCAGTTTTCAACCTTTCCCAACCTGATGCCCTCCAGAACATACTGTCTGAAGGCAATGCATGCAGTGGATGATAATAGTTGTCTATCAGCAGTTTCCCATGGGTGGTGTTAAGCTGGTGTAAAAGTGAGATCCACTACAGCTCCCCATGAAATCAACATATTTAACTCCAGCACAGGCAGAGTCCGAGGGTTGGAGAAAGCCTTCTGCACACTTTTTAACCTGATGCTCTCTGCTCTATGAAGTATGGTTTTCCTGTGGATGCTGTACTTGCTAAAAAACATCCCTCCTCTGCATCTTCTCTTCAGCCTGAGGATGGGAATGTTTTTGCATGGAAAAATATGTACTCCTATGACATATGCTTTCCCCAACTAATGTTGGTAAATCCCAGGTCCAGCTTTGCCAGCTTCTCCATATAGAATGCTTCAGCAGTGTTTCCCAACCTTGGGCCCCCAGATGTTATTGGACTACAACTCCCAGAAATCTTGGCCAGCACAGCTGGTGGTGAAGGCTTTGGGGAGTTTTATTCCAAGAACATCTAGGGAATCCAGGGTTGGGAACCAGAACGTTGGGAACCACTGCTCTAAAGCTTATGAACAATACCAAAGAGAGGAGAGGAACTCGAGTGGCAATGGTATCAAGACGATTTGCCATTCAGTCACCATTTACAAAAATGGGAATGAGCATTGTACTGTGATTTTTCCCCCCTGTAGGTGTTAATGTTCTACAAACAGAGAATTTTATGGTGGACAAGAAAGAGAATGGAGAGTACAAAGTCTATAAATGAAGTAACCCTGGTGGTCCTTGTTTGTTCACTCCAGCTGTTCTTGCCTCTTACTGGCTTTAATCCTAGTGCAGTTTTCCAGCCAGGACAAATCAGATTCTCTATAAGGACTAGGAAGGGGGAACTGTGACTTCACTTCATATGAGAATATGTTGAGGATTAGATTGAGAATCCTCCCTCTTCCTAAGTGAGCTATTGCTGGTGGTGCACTGCAGATGAATGAATGTAGTCTTGCAATGTGACAAGGGGAAGAAAAGGAAATTGCAACTCCATTCTGAGCCTTAATTTTTATTATAATGAGGAGGAGTTTCAATGACTGAAAAAAAATGGAAGAGCGCGCTAGACTGATAGGATTCTGCAAACAAAATCATCTATATAAGAGTGGATTAAATCTTTCCAGCTACCTGTTCTGAAAATTATGTCGCACCTAAGAATGATAGGATGCAGTTTTCTCAAGTTCTGAATCATTTCACAGGAGTCCGAAGAATATTTGGAGTCCTAGTAACCAAAAACGCACACACACAAAAACCCCTACCACCTACATCCCATCAGTCACAATGAGCCAGCTTCCTGCCCTTTGAGCAAGTAAGGGAAGAATGTTGACCACAATGGTGTCTTAGTGACCAGGTGAACACAGGAAAGCAGAAACAAAGAACATTACATGGGTAGCATGTTACAGAATCAGAAAGCTTTATTTACACAGTCAAAGTAACAAGTAAATTCCTGAGACTGAGCTGCTCTATAGTGCAATAAAGTCATTTGAGAGAGTACAAATCAGCAGTCTTCTTAATTTTCAGGTCAAGGAACAGTCTTTATAGTAGATCTTGAACAAACATAACACCCAGCTACAGTGCTGACTTTGTATACACATCAATATGTCTGCAACTGTGCAACTACCATGGACAGAGAGAAATATACACTTGTGTGAACACACACACATACATACACACATTCATTCATTCACCCATTCACTGTTACCAGAGTTTATGGTTTCCTAAAGGCTTTTTGGCCAATCATTTTTTTTAATTCATTGGTTCTTAAATATCAAAAACAAAACGCTGGAGAACACTGCTACAATCCTAAAAAGATCCTCTTGTCCCATTCAGTAAGGAGTGTCCCAAATGCACTTGAAACACAGTATTATTGGTCAAAGAGGATAGGCTATCTTGTGAAAAATTACAGGCAAACCCAGAAGTATGTCATTTTTTAAAATGATAATAGCTTAACACTTCATTAAAACTGTTCCAAAGAGCACTGGACTACAGATGCATAACAATAAATGCAAAACTCTTGCAGTTAAATCACTTTTGAAAGTAGAAATTGCTGATAGTGCTGTTGTCATGAAATGTCCACAGTACAGAATGGTCTGTGCTCCAAGCCAGCCATTGCCCGTCTCTCTGTTTGATTAGACTTCACTAGTGCTCAGCCGATGAAAATACTTGTCCACCGAAGGTAGCAGCAACAGAGTATCTGCCAGGAGACCTAATCCAAGCGAGACAGGGATCCTTATGAGACAGAGCTAATGACTTTTCAGCTGACATGGGGAAACTAATCCAGCTGAGCTCCTGATTTTTACTGGCGAGCAATCCATCTGTGTTACAATCAAAAGGATGTCCCCTGAACATATTGTTACATATTGTATTTCAGAGACTAAAAATGTTTGTGAGTGTGTGTAGATGCATCTACACAGACACCCACACACATACATGTACACTCATTCATAAATCCACCAAGTTTTACTTCTATGTTTTAAAAAGTAAGGCTTTTAAAAACGCAGTACATAAAAATTATATAAAACCAAAACCAGTACAATCCAATGAATCCACTGCCTTGGCCTAATACTAGGCAAACAGCATACTATGTTTACATTGATGTGCCCACTGTAAGGCTGTTTTTCAGTGAAGTTACTAAGGCAAAGGAGGTTTGCAACTACGTAAATACTGATCTACAGTAGGAGAGTTGGTCAGTGGTCCTTTGGGGGCACTTCCCTACTCTGTGTATTTAGCTAGTGGTAGGTAGCAGCCCTTGTTGTTTTGAAGCCCTTAATAGTGTACAAATCCAAGATATGAAAAATGCCATCTCTATAGCACTAAAGGGAAATGGAACTTCTAGAAATCAGACCTGAAAGAATGCGTATGACTTCTCAAAGTATACCATGCTAAATGGCACAAGGGCCCTATGTGTCACCAAGTCCAGCCCCTGTCAGGAACGGTTACTTCAACTGTAGCCTGCTGTGGTAAAGAAAAGGGTGCTGTGCCTATGCACTTGAGATGGGCCACCATTTACCTGAAAATAGATTAGATTTGGAAAATGTCTCTAAGCAATCCAAGCTAAATACTGTTAACTTCATGAACATGCAACTAACAGGAAAAGAAGCAGAACGCTGAAGCCAGACTACGTTAGTTAAATGTGGATCTCACTGAATTAAAAGAACAGACTTGTCCTATTGTTTTTGGTGGGGCCTAACATGAACAAACATACATACAGCAAACCCCTATTTGTGTTTACTCGGAAGCAAACCCCACTGAGTTCATCTATTCTCATTTAAGTTGGCATAGAGTAGCTGCCTGAGTCTGGATTCAACCTCCTCTTTACAACTGTATTAGTAGTACAGTTGGTGTAATTCTGCATGATGATGGTGATTCAGGATTGCGCAGAAAGTTTGTGTGTGTGCATTTTTTAAAGAGCAGCTGGGAGAAGGCAGATGTAGTTTCTTTGTACAGGAAGAGTCAAAAGAATTTGATAGGAGAAGAAGGGTGTTTGTCCTTTCACTGTACATAAAATGATGAATAACCATGTGTGCCAAAGAACCTGTCATCTTAAGTCATAGCTCAGCAAACAGCTTGCTTGAAAATATTGGTACCAGAGTAGATTCATGGATTCTTCTAGCACAGCTGAACTATACTCAAATGTTCTAGCTATCAAGTTCTACTCCAACTTCAACTGAATAGGTTCATTTTTACTATGTCTTTCTCAAGCAACTATAGCTGTAGGGTGCTGTATTGTATAACAATGGCATGCTTTATTTATTAGCAAAGGATGTACATATATCTATATGAATTTTTGCACTTGTATACCTTATAGCCTATACTGCACTCACATTGGTTCTTAAGGGCTGGTTCTCTGTAATTTTTGTCCAGGTAGTACTTGAGTGGTCAACCAATGTGCTTGGATTGCCAGCATGCAGATATTTAGTTGGGTGAACTTTCCATCTTTTGTTCCACATATATTCAGCATTAATCTGACCTTATAAATGGCTCAGATTTCCACTCTAGCTGGGGCAAAACTACGACAAATATTGCCAATTAAAAATCACCCTTCAGTATTGTCAGACTGTAATGTGACATGGCTTCATATCACACACATCTAATTCTTACTCCCAAATCCTCTGCTGCTCTTCTAGCACAATAACTACCCTGTTTCCCCATCCACCATGTGGGAGAAACCCTAAGAGACAATTTTGATTCTTTGAGATGACATGTGAGCCAAATAAGATGTGAATGGGCCTGAATGTTAAATAGACTGATTCAGGCCTGAAATGAGCCAAATTCAGTTCATTGGATGGAAGCCCAACGCAAGCCAGAGAAAGTTTGCCCATCACTATGGTGAACACCTGCTCTGTCCTGTTCTGAAATGATGAGGCATGTTAACTTGGCATTTGTTGAATAAACTCTCTGAACGTGTAAAGCAGTATCCTCTGAGAAAAATCAAGGCTTTATAGATATGTTTACCAGTTTGTTTCACAGCACCAAAATCTGGAATCCAAGACATCCAAAACTGAAGCAATCTCTTCCCTACATAATTATCATCTTATTACTGTATTTCTTTTGGCTTGCACATTATTTTGAGTATCCTATAAGGAGGGTGAAAAAACAAATCTGTGCAGTTTGACTGGACATATGTAAAGCTACAGCTTGGATGGAACCTCCCATGTGGAATCAGATGCCACAAACATCTAAACTACGGAAGAAAAAAGTGCAGCAAAAAAAGGAGAGGGTATCTTTTTAAAAAAACACCAATGTTTTCCTTATGTAAGTAAACATAAAAAATATTTCCATTTTGTAAGTGAACAGCTTATTTAACTGAAAGATGCATGCTAAAGGGTACATAATTATTATTCACCATTATCAATAAGAAGGCAGAAAAAAATGCTGGAGTGAAGCCATTCAAATATTAGCATCTCAAACTGCATTTTGTACCAGCCTTGTCATAGGAAAAACAGGTCCCACATGATCTAGATATGGAAAAGAATGGTGCATATTTATTGCTTGTTTCTTTAAGCCAGGGATAGGGAACATATGAACCTCAAAATGTTATTGGACTACAACTACCTTAACAGAATTCCTTAACTATTAGGTATGCTGGCTGGGGTAGATAAGAGTTGGTGACCTCTGCAGGGCCACACGCTCCTGTCCCTACCATAAGCTATCTGGGGGAGTTTCTCTTATATCTGTGCAGAGAAAAAACACATACAAATGAATGCATAATACAGTATGTCATAAGCAATCCTCTGGGAAGTCCTGGCCAGGATCCTATTTGTTTTTTTTCCGTACAATAGGCTGATGCCATGTGGCAGGTTTTTTATGCCAACTTTGCAAAATGGCACGCACTACCCCCTTGCATACGCATAGGTGCTGTTGATTTTGACAGAGTGATCTCTGGCTTGCACAACTGTCAGCTGGAGCCTGCTGCAGCAATCATGGAGTGTTCCGCCTGCAGAACAATTATTCTCCACAATTGCTAACAGAATTCTGGCCCCTGTCTAGGATACTAGATAATTTTAGTGGATTGATGCAATCTGTAACTCTTTACATCAATTATATGTTGCCATTTACACAGGAGGGGAGTGATAACTATAGTATTTGTGAAACTACTCAAAGATTGCGGAAAATCAAATGCAGAAATGGCTCTGCTCACAAAGATTCTGGACAAGATCAAATTGATTGTTTGGCAACTTGGATGTTAACAGCTAGCTGCTTTCAAATTGAGGGAAGGAAGGGTGGCCCAGGGGAGAAGCTGGAAAGTATGCCAGTCCATAGCCTGTTTGCATAACTGTCTGGCTGTAGCTTGGTGTTACGGCTAAACCAACTTTTTTTAACCAATGGAAATATATCCATGGATGTACAGTTAAAAATTTTCCAAGTCAGGAGAATACACAACAAGACTGGACAAAATTCATCTAAACAGACATCTGTATACAGAAGATCATGTGTCTGTATTCTATGATTAGGATTAGTCATGGAAGTTGGCCTCTTGAGAATCTCAAATTTTGTTATCTTTAAATTTTAAATAGTGCATAGCATAGCTCTGGAAGCACAAAATGCAGGCAGATATACATGCATTTGGCCAAGGTTGTATACTTATATACAAATATGTAAGACCTGATGAAATCTTAGAAACCAGATGGTTTCTAAGCAGAATTTCCAGTGGTTAGAAGCCTTCTCCTGTATCAAGTAAATTTGCTTATTTTATACAAGGTGCAGAATCTACATACCTGTGCAGAACTCTGATTTTAAAAATATTAAAATGGAGCATGTACAACCCCATTAGTAGAACATAAAAATGGAGTGGTTTGAAGGAGGAAAGGGACAGAACAAATGTGAACATAGAATGGAGATCTGAGAAAAACAGGAGGAAGACAATCCTCCTCCTATCATCTTACAGTTATTGTTGTCTATTATAGCATACAAATTAGTTCATTTTAATTGTTTAAGGCCACTTTTTATTAAATAATGACCCTACTCAGGTCATAAAAGTCAGGCAAATTCAAAAGAAAACAGAGTTAACCCTCTGAAGCAGCCTTTCCTACCTGGTGCTCTTCAGTATCTTATGGTTTTCATGCCAATATCCAACTAAGCCTGATCTGAGGGTTATCTATGTAAACCCCAAAAGGTGTGTCAGAGTCTGTGCCATTATATTATATTTTTTGCTGCTGACAGCTGTCTCACGTAGTCTGTACTAAATAGGTTTACTGCTAAGTAAGATTTTGTACTACAAACTGGGAAAATCAGACAACAGATTTGTTGAGGACTTAGGACCAAGCATCCACATCCTTTTAAAGAGAAAGGTGGGGTACAATATTTTAAAGAAATAAATAATAAAGTAAACAATGGTGGAAGAAAGAATCAGAAGGGATTCTGGCTCCACAATTGGGTTCCAAACTGCCACTGTTCTCGGAGGCTGGAAGTACTTTAAAGTAAAGTGGAGCTGAACAGACTTTATATTACACTTTGTAAGAGGGGGAAATGAGCCCAAGGTTATGTAGGGAGAACAAAGTGTTTACCATCAGTTCTTTTTGCTGGTGACAAATGTGATGTGGTGACAAGCTGAACAAAATGCAGTTGAGTCCACATCTTAGCCACTCCATCAAAAAATTAAGGTATTTATGTTCCTTTTCAGATATCAAGGATCTCCACTATTTATTCTTAATTATCCTTATGTACTGTGCATCACACCCTGTCACCTAAACACCATTTTCACTTTATGCATATAGTTACTGCCCAGTTATTTCTGCTATTTAAACTTCTGGATCCATCAGTGTTTTGGCTGATCTTCTCCCAAACACAATGGTCCCAATCCAGTTTCATGCAGTAGCAAATAACACCTAGCAGAGCCAAGATGGGCTAATGTGTCCCCATTTTCACTAATAGATGCCTCCAGTCTGATCCATCAACATCTGGTTTGGCTATATGTGTGAAAATCTGCACACACCCACTGAACCCTCCTGCAGAATCAGGGCAAATGTATTGTGCTTTTTTCTTTCTTTCTTGGTGCTTATGATGACTACAGAATTATTATTTTTTTTTTACATGAGCTTAAGACCAGTAATAAGGTACTATGATGCTGGGAAGCTTGATTTTACAGCAGAGGAGAAAACAATCCGATCTGTGAGATCTTGTAAAAACTATCGGATACGCAATCTGAAATATATTCCAATGAAAAACAAATCTAGATAGCAATGCTAATCACCACCTTTCCCCCCTTTGATAAGGATTGCTGAGGTGTAGTTTAGAATAAAAACCAGCCAACAACAATAAAAACAAACTATAGTCCACTCCTTCTCAAACCCAAAGTGGATTAAATTCCCAACAGACAGAGGATGAACCAGCTGCCTCTTTAGATGGCATGTTATCTGCTTTGTGAATGGCCAACAGCTACTGTTTCCTTTCTTTCTGCCTAAGCCCTATCCCAAACACACTTTTTAAAAAAGAAAAATTGTTGTTATTCTAAAGTTTGACAATTTCAAGTTTTGATACATCCACGAACCCACAAAAAATGTGCTGATGTAATTTAGAGGTTTTATCTAAAGTTTCTTTGAAAAACCTCATGGGCTACAGTAGTTCTAAAGAGTTTCAAGGTTTAACAAGATACCTGATGAAATTTGGCAAAGCTTCTTGTCCTTTCCCACCTGCCAACATCAACACCTGTGAAGGTCTACCACTCTATTGCAGATGGATCATTCCATCTGTGTTCTCAGTTGTTCTCTATTTGCTCAATATCTAATTCGCCATCCAGCTGAAAGACATTATCCCCTCCTGTCCCGCCGTTCCTCCACGAGGGGTTTTCTTCTTCTTTCCTGTTCTCATCTTCTGTGGCACAAAACTCTGACTCCTCGTAGGAGAACTCCTCTTCTTTGTTAGATTTACATTCTTCTGTGTTTGACTGTGGCTCTGGCACAGGGGTACAGGCCGGTGTCCTACCTGGCATGACATCCAAGGTTGTTGTCCATCCCTGGGTGCTGCTGATGTCAGGTGAGAACTGATTCTGCGGAGAACAGTCATCCACAGTGGTGCTAAGGCAGCTAAGGCTGTTAAAAGTTTGACAGTTCTGCAAGAAAGAAAACAGAAAGATGAAGTACTCCAATAAAGAATTAAAGATATCAAGAATTTGACCGTCCTTTCCACATCAAGTTTGATTTCACTGAAAAGAATACTTCAGTGTAAATTATGACCTCCATACCACCTGTTTTCCAAAAAGCTAAATGCAACATATGAGGTTCTCCTCAATTTAATTTTTATTCTCACAAAATTCTGTGGGGAAGGTAACTTGAAGGGTAGGGACAGATCTGATAATTACAGTGATTTATCAGGCCCATGGTATGGTGTTTAAATTGCAGTACTGCATCAAAAACTCTGTTCCCGACCTGGGTTCAATTTCAGGTTGCTGCTCAAATCTTCCATCCTTCCAAGGTCAGTAAATTGAGTACCCAGCTTGCTGGGGGGGGGGGAATGTGTAGCCTGCATAATTAAATTATTAACCACCCAGAGAGTGCTTTAAATGCTATGGGGCAGTATATAAGCGGCATATTTTGCTTTGCTCAGCCAGGCTGTGAAAGTGGGTCTTCCTGTTCCCAATTAAATACTTCAATCACTATATCTCAGTGGCCCAGCCACTGTCTTTGCATCAATTTTAGATGGAGGGCAACACTGTCATAGTCAAAGACACTTGCATTTAAGAGGTTCTACATGAAATGGATGTCATTAATCATTTCAACAAGATAAAAACACTGCAAGAATTTCTACTGAAAGGGAAATATCAGATAAATGATCTAGCCCGAGTCAGTTACATATTCTGGGATGGCCATATCATCTGTAACTTTTCCCAAACAGACTACATATTAGTTAAATTAATGAGGAAAGCTGCAGGAAATTGAAAGCTATGGTTATTTATTCAGTGGTGAAACATTATCCAAAGCCCAGAGCTTAGAATGTTAAGTTAAAATATATATTAATTAAACAATAGGAACTGGGGCATTAATTCACTGGTGTCAGCACTTAAAACTGAAAATATTTAACTCATTAAATGTGTGTTATTAACACATTCATTCATACATTAGTTTCACGTACTTTCTGTAGAACAGATATGTCACTGGCACTCCTCCAACCCAAGCAAAAGATACCCAAACCTCTATTGAGAAAATTTACCACAGATAATCTACTACTAGGAATAGACTGAAAATGGAGTTAGACAACACTAAGAAACTTATATAAAAACGGTTAATAATTTACATTACTTCTCTTGACTCCTTGAAATGACAGTCAAAACCATAAACTCCAAGATTTATTTATTGCGCAATAAAGAGCCAGCTGGCCACTATCAATAAACTCTTTTAGCAGGGCACTATTTCAAAAAACTTGCCCGAGTGTATAAACCTCGTTGAAAAGTACTGTAAACGTGTTGCTGGCCTGTCTGATCCCAGACAATTATTATAGTGACCTACAGCAGTGGTTCTTAACCTTTTTGAAAGAATTGTCCCCTTGAGCCATTGAGGAAGTTAACATTGCCCCCCTCCCGGCGGCAGCAGCGGGAGGGAGCGGCAGGAGGAGGAGGAGTGGTGGCGGCAGGAAGGGAGGGGGTGGCGGCAGCAGGGGGAGCTAGAGGGAGATAGTAAGAAAGGGACTGGGAGCGCACAGATGCACACACACGGCGAAGCCAGCCTCAGTGTGCATCAAACGCCCAAAGAGGAAAGAATGAGAGAACCAACTAACAAAAGAGGCAGCTCGCCAGCCGGCAGCGGCTCACTCCATCGCCCCCTTCTGTTCCTTTGCCCCTGCGTCGCCCCTTTTCATTCCATCGCCCCCCTGAAAAATTAAATCGCCCCCTGGGGAGCGATATCACTCAGGTTAAGAACCACTGGCCTACAGCAGCCAAAGCAGGTCAACTTCTCACTCTCTCTCACACACACATACACTTCAATCTTTCATAGATAATCTGTTTTTAAAATGTTATAAAGTCCAGCAGCCTCAGTGCAAGGTAAAACGGATAATTTGCATGGTCTCTGCCCCAAAAGGCTTTGGTACACGGGAAATGCCCCACCAACTGTTGAAGACCTAGATGAGCTACCCATCTTATGAGTGCCTGCAAATTTGCCTATCTGAATGAAACACAAAAGGAAATGATTGGTTCTTGACTCTGTTAACTAACGATTTCTAGGTATTATAGTCCAAGTACATTTATAAAGTCAAGGGCGGGATGCCTAATATATGTATTAAAGGGAACCATAGACCCCTTTGCCTTTGGGGAAGGATGCTGTGGACTAGTATAGTCCTCTCTACAGAAGGACCTGCAACTATCATTTTAATGTGCAAAATCTCCATTAATATCACTTTCCAAAATGTTATTTTTAAGGATTACATTTTGAAGGCCTTTTCCCAACCTTCACCCTAAAATGTAATAAATCTAACATTAGCATGTTGATGTTAATGTGTTCTTTTCAAGCTCTACAAAAGACACAAACATCTATGAATCCATGTGACAGGGCTGTACATGAAGGAACAATCTGTGATGTGGCATGAGAATGTCCATCCCACATTGCTCTTTCAACTCACTCCATTGGCTGAAAAGTCAGTCTGCTGCCTGGATTTATCACAGCAAGAGAACCTAACTACTTGCAAAGGGTCAAGGGTACTGAACAAGTACAGCTGACACAGACCCATACCCATTATAGAAACTTCAATAAGGGACTGAATCAAATCAAACATATCTCCACTATGAATAGGCAATAGGTGACCATAGAGCTCTCTGAATCTGGCTCAAGAAAGAAAGCTTGCCTACTCTGGAATCAACGGAAGCTTTATGAACAAAACAGTGTTGCAGGCTCCCTCTCCCATCCTTCAAATTCCAAAAGCAAGTTTTCACAAGCTGAAATGCTTTTTGGAGCAGTTGGAGAAAGGATGGCCCCATGACAATTCATCAGTCAAATAGGTGCTAGAACATTGCCGCCACAGACCAGATGTCCACTTTAAGAGAGAAAGAAGTATTTGCTAATCTTGATGCCACAGAGTTTGGCAGAATTCTCTGGTCTCTAGTTACCTGGAAACCACCATGGAGCATTTAGTTTGCAAATAGTACAGCCAACCAAGTGGCCGGGTTCTCTGAATTCTACCTTTCACTCCTTCCTGCTTAGAGGCAACTGTGTCAATAACCGCCACCTCCCTGTGCCCTGGGATTAAAGGTGTATACTACGTTGGGTTCAAAAGGATCTTTTCAGCCATTCACAGTCACAAAACAAACACCCTGTTTGTCAGGTCCTGTGCACTGACGAGCCACTCCAGAGGGTTGCAAAGCAGTCTTCCTTTGTCTTCTCAGAATAGAGGTGTTCTTACACAAGAACATGCACCTTTCCAAAACAGTCATCTTTCCCAAGCCAAAACTAATAATGGAGTCATATTAAACAGTTTCTTGAATGTACAGTATATCAGAGAAGTGAGTACACCCCCTCACATTTTGTTACCAGCGGTTTAGACATTAATGGCTGTGTGTTGCGTTATTTTGAGGGGACCGCACATTTACACTGTTATACAAGCTGTATACTCACTGCTTTACAAGCTGTATACTCACTGCTTTACACTGTAGCCAAGTGTCGTTTCTTCAGTGTTGTCAGATGAAAATATATACTAAAATATTTATGAAATGTGAGGGGGTGTACTCACTTCTGTGATATACTGTACATGTGCTTCAGACAGGTATATAATGGCAAGATATAGAAGAAAAGCTCCATTCTGCTTCGCTTGCGGGAATAGCATGGATCCATCTTACCCTACAGAACTTGGAAAGGTTATTTTTCTGGTCCACAGCTCCCATTGTCCTTACCCTGTTAAGTGTGAGTTCAAAGGATCATCTTGAGATGGGCCATCATAAAGGAACAGAAACTAGTGCTCACAAGCTGAGGATGACAGAAGAAAAATATTTCACTGAACTTTTTACCAATTTGCAGGACTTAAGGGACAGGCAGCTGACTTTTGGACATGACTAACTCTGGTAAACTGAGCTATTTAGAAGAGTTTTAATTTGTGTCTAACCCTAGACACAAGTTAGAACAGTTTGTGGGCTTTATTGCAATTGTCAAATACTCTAGGAGATGGCAGGGCAGTCTTTGATTCATCTGAGATGACGCTGAGCAGAACTGAAACTATGAGAAGAGATAACTCTGGGGAGCAGCCCTGAATGAAAGGACAGACAAAATAAAGTGCACTGATGGACATTGGTTCCCACTCCAATGTGCTCTTTCAAGGACACACAGAGTACTGAAAGAGGTTGCATGGAAAGTTGATTTGACAGCTGCCTTGATTCCTTTAGGGGAAAACACTATTGCTCTAATTTAGACAGGAAATGGCAGGGAGGGGGTTGGCAGGCTCCACCCCATGACTGATTATTGGGTTAGCCAAAAAGGAGATATAAAATCTTAAGGAAAAGGTTTGGAACAAACAAACAAACAAAAACACTCAAAAACATCACAAACTGGTTTTAAACTGTTCCCCTTCAAATCTTCAGAAGCTGGAAAGTTTGTGAGTCCTTAAAATTCATGGTTCAATTTTAAAATAAAGAATGTTACTCCGACTCACAAAGAAATAGCAATAATGGCAGTGATTCCTGTTAAAGGGCAAGAAGTGAGAGGAATACATTTTGAAGGATCTGCAGGATTGATGGTGTGTCTCCTTTTCATGGTATGAGCCTCATGTCTTTCCTATGTTCCACCCAGGACCAGAACAAAGGTGTTCTGGCTGCAAAATCCAGGCACTTTGGTGTGTAAACGCCAACAACCTGATCTTAAGCATAGATCTGTGCCTATGCTGCCTTCATGCTGTCAGTTATGGCACATTACAGGGGTTGGGGGTCAGGAGAAGGATTGTACCAAAAAGCTACAACAAAATATTTTGTTATACTCCTAATAATTATTTCTCTGGGCTTGTTCCAAATTACTTGGCTTAAGGACTATAGTTTTCGTGCACAATTACTGAAAGGATCGCCCTTATATAACATCATGGGAGAAAACACAAAGACAGCTGTAGCTGGAACAGGTGGGAGATCAAAGCTGGCAGCATTTT